ACGGCCTGTGGAGTGTCGCTGAGGTACACCGGATCGTGGTGTTTCCTAAGCATTGCCTGGAGGATGTTGTGGACGTGGACGAGGTAGTGGTAGCTGCTCCGGGAAGACCTCTGGAGGAGTCGCCTCAAGTGGGTGTGGGACTCCGTCTTGCACTGTTGAACGGGGAGGGGGGGGGGGCGCAAGGCATTCAGGAATCAGCTTCAGTAAGGTTGTAGGTAATTCTCTCGATCGTAATCATTTACTGCATATATCATGTGATTCGTACATGCATACATACATGTACGAAATATATATATACATGTACGAAAAAATATATATACATATTTGCATATATATACATATGTATATATAGGTATCTATATGTATATACATATATATATATATATATATATATATATATACACATATATATATGTGTGTGTGTGTGTGTGTGTGTGTGTGTGTGTGTGTGAGACAGAGACACAGCACCCTGAGAACTAACCGCCTCGTTGTACAGGTACCGCAGTGTCGTCACGTTCAGGTAGTCGCTCATGACCAAGCCGTTCATGATGAACAGCTTGACGAACTCCACCTTCTCCTCCAGCAGCGCCGTCGTCATGAGGTCCTTCAGGTCCCACGACGCCCAGTTGGACTCGGCTGGGAAGATGTGGTGCTCGGCTATGTCGGGGCGGTCCCACAGCAGGGCGAGGCTCAGCTGATCCAGGCGAGATGACTGAGCTCCTCCTGTGGGCGGGCAGACGAAGGAGTGGGTGAAACATCGAACGGAATCAAAGTAAGAAAAAAAAGGAAAGAAAATGGTTAAAGCCAAACCTGATTCTCTGAGTCTTGAGCTTCTTTTTTTTTCTTATTCTTTATAATGGCGACAGAAATGACGACAGTAGGCTACGTTATCCTAATTTAGCTTTAATCGTTAACAATCAAAGGAGTAAGTTCTATGAAGGCAAGTTCTTCATATTGGAAATCGGGCCAGGTGAAGGAAAATATTTTGGAACTACGGATTTGATAAGGGCTTTATTATAAATATACAAAACAAAAAGATTAAAAGACGATATCCAAAAGAAATAAAATATATATATAGATAATGAAAACAAAAACACAGATAAAGAAAACAAATTAAGAGGTAAATATATAAAACGTTAAGAATAAAAAGGGTTTCGAAATGACATTCACTTAAGCCTTACCAGAAACAATGGATCTGAAAATTCGTCACCCAAAATCCTCATGCTAATACACTCAACACCTCTATTGCACTAAACGTCAATGATAAAACGAAACGAAATCGAAGCCCTGTTTCTGTTACCCTCACGGACCCGCTCGCCTAAAAGCGCAGTTTTTTTTTCGCCGCGTAGGAAGACTGAGTTTACTGAGCTTAAGACTCCCAAGAAACGTACCAACGAAGGTGAAACGAAACATAGAGGAAAAATAAAGAAAAACTACATGCCATGGCGTTTTGACCCAGTCTCTAGCCTCCTCATCAGACGACAAAATCACGGAGTTCTTAGTCTAACTCGAATACCAAATCGCAAGTTTATCATTTCCTTTATTACAGCACGGAGTTCTTTAGTCTAACTCGAAGTTAAATCGTAAGTTTATTATTTTCTTTATTACTGTGATTCTTCTTTTTTTCCCCATTTCACAAACCTGTTAGTAACGCGTAGAGGATACAGTGGTCGAGTCCTTCTGCGCAGTCGATGTCGAAGGTGATGATCATGTTGGCTCTTGCGCAGCACTCCAGCACGTAATCCGCGCATTTCTGTAATGGGAGAGAGAAATAATGGTTATGGACAACTGTTAAATGAATATGCGACCGTATGTATGAATATATATGAATAAAGAATAAAGATATATGAATAAAGGATGTCGATAAACGATAGAAACGCACGTGGGGCCTAAAAAAAATTAAACAGAAGTTGGGAAATGGAGAAGATGATGAAGAGGAAATATGAGATAGACACGGAAATGCGAGAAGGATTAAAGGGGAATGCAATAACACAAAGGAAGTAAAGATAAAGATGTGTCCCACCTTCTGCTTCTCCGTTTTGCCTTGGAGTTCAGTCATGGCGGCGAGGATTTTGTTCATCAGCTGCGTGACGTATTGTCTTCGCAGGATGTAACGACCGCTGAGGGATCGGGTCTTGTGTTAGTTGGATCGTGATTATGCGAAGCTGTATGTCATTATTTGATAATATCGGTATCATAGGGGAACAGAGAAGGCTATACTACTACTACTACACACACACACACACACACACACACACACACACACACACACACACACACACACACACACACACACACACACACACACACGAAAGCACATGCACACACACAGCCCCATTCGTACTCCACAGGCATCTATCAATTCCCTCCCCCATTTCCCCATCCACCTCTCCCTTCCCTACTCCCCCTCCTCCCCCACCTAACCATCTCCTCTCTCCACCCTTACCCCCCCTCCCTCCCCTTCCCCTTATCCCACCCACCTCGCCGTCCTAACCGTCATGGACACAGCGTAAGCGAGGAGGTCGGCCGCCCGCCCCGTGCCCCCCACGACCACCACAGGGATATTCTTCTTCAGCGCCATGGCACACTTGCCCAGGGCTCCGAGGCCTCCCTCGAGCAGCACCACGACCACGGGAATGCCCAGGCCCGAGGGCTCTTCCGCCTGGATGGCCTCCTCCAAGCGGGTTCTGTGAGAAAAAAACAAAACAAAAAAAACAATGTGTTTACAGAATTTACCATCATAACCACTACTGTTATATGTATACAGTATACAGTTATATGTATATCAATTCATTTCATTTCGTACTCACAAAATCACACACTCACGTACATGTCCCTACATACACACACATACTAGTATTCCTTAAACTGACCTGAAATTGACGGTGCCATTGAAGTGGTCGCGGCTCCCGTCGTCCACCATCAGGAAGTGGGTGTGGTCGCCGTCCAGGGACACGGGGTCCTCCGAGTTCGTCCGCTCCTGGATTTTGTACCTGCCGGAGGAGGAACAGGAGGGGGTGAGGGGAGAGGAGGCAGAGGAAGAGGAGAAGGAGGAAGAGGAGGAGGAGGAGGAGGAGGAGGAGGAGGAGGAGGAGGAGGAGGAGGAGGAGGAGGAGGAGGAGGAGGAGGAGGAGGAGGAGGAGGAGGAGGAAGAGGATTGCGAAGAGGAGGAGGAAGAGGAAGGGGATTGCGAAGATGAGGAAGAGGATTGCGAAGAGGAGGAAGAGCAGCGGGAGGAGTAGGAAGGGTGAGTAGGAGAAGGAGAAGGAGGAGGTAGAGGAAGAGGAATATTAAGAGGAGGAGAAGGAGGAGGAAGAGGGAAAGGAAGAGAGGAGGAGGAGGAGGAAGAGAAGGAAGAGGAGGAGGGAGACAAGGAGGGAGGGAGGAGGAAGAAGAGAAGGAGAAGAAGTAAGAGGAAGAGGAAGAGGAGAAGAAGGAAGAGGAAGAGAATGAGAAGAAGGAAGATGAAGAGGGAGAGGAAAATCAGAAGGAGAAGGAGGAGGAAAAGAAAAATAAGCGGGTGAAAGGAAGTAAGAAAGAGGGGAAGGAGAGGAGAAAGGGAGAGGAGGAGGAGGAGGAGGAGGAGGAGGAGCAGGGAAGGTTGAAAGGGAGAGGAGAAGCGGACAAGAAGGAGGAGAGTGAAGGAGGGAGAGAGCGAGGAGATGGAGGAGGAGAAGGAAATGGGATACGAACAGGGAGGATAGGGATATGATAGAAGAAGAAGAAAAAAAAATAATAATAATAAGAAGAGGAAGAAAAAGAAGAGGAAGAAGAAGAAGAGAATGGCGAAGAAGAATAGGGGAATAAGAAACAACACTAAAAAGTCGACAAGACGAACAACATATGAAAAAAAAACACAAAGAAAACACTTTCATCAACACCAACGCAACACCATATCCGTCAGAGCCATTACCTCACTTCCTCAAACTCATTCAGATCTGAGTTCAGGAGAAGATGTCTGTCTCTCACGAAGCCCCAAGGAAGCACCCCGAGACACCGGATTCCTCTGGCCAGGTAGTCTTGCGTCTGTTAGGTCAAAGGTCAGAGAAAGAACAGAGCTAGGTCAAGATAGGTTATATCAGGGGTCGGATATATTGTGTGTCAACAGATGATAAAGTCTATCATATTAATGTTTTTTTTCCTAATGATGTGTAGAATATACTACGGGGCACAGTATTTAATGTTTATGATACTTACCTCCGAAAATAACTCCTTTCGCTTGACCTGAAGACAATGAAAAACGAATTATTATAAGGAGCCATTCCTAATAAATACAGTAACAATACTTTGTTCTCTCCATACATATGCACATAAACTTAAATACATATATACATACATACATACATGCATACATACATATATATATACGTATGTATATATATGTGTAAGATCTATATAGATATGTATATATATACATATATATATATATATATACATATACATATACATATATATATCAACGGGACTGAAATTTTACTATACCTTAACAGTGTACTGGCTTTCGTTAACAGCCTCGCCCACGACCCTGTTCACGCCCAAATGCAGGCCGCCCGTGAGGATCCAAGCGCCAGTAGATTTGACAGCCTGCAGGTCAAATGGTTCAATACTAGATGGATATATTTCAAGATACTGGATAAGCTGAAGCAATATGACTAAATGAAAAAAAATGAATGAATGTATAAATAAGGTAGACAGGCTATTTATAGGAACAAAATGATCCCATGGTTACAAGCTAAGCACCGAGGAAGCCGTGCCATTGACTAGGGAGTAGTGGTTGTTCGGGAACGCCGCCGAAGTCAGCCACCAGCCAAAGTATCGGCCGCCCAAAGGGGAGGATGAGGCTGTATATAGCTCATTCACGTTCATCGTTCCACCTCAACGCTCGCCTCCACATCTTTCTTTCTTTATCTTTCCTTCTCTCTCTCGCTTTCTACATCCCCCCCCTCTCTTTCTCTATCTCTCTGTCTGTCTGTCTCTGCCCCCCCCCCCTCTCTCTCTCTCTCTCTGTCTGTCTGTCTGTCTGTCTCTCTCTCTCTCTCTCTCTCTCTCTCTCTCTCTTCTCTTTCTCTTTCTCTTTCTCTTCCTCTCTCTCTCCCTCCCTCCCTCCCTCCCTCCCTCTCTCTCTCTCCCTCCCTCCCCCCTTCTCTCTCTCTCTCTCTCCCTCCCTCTCTCTCTCTCCTCTCTCTCTCCCCCCTCTCTCTCTCTTCCTCTCTCTCCATCCTCACCACCCTTTCCTTCCTCCCTCACCGCCCTCTTCACCCTCATCGCCATCCTGACCTTCATGAGCCCAGTCGAGAAGATCTCCCTCTTCCGCCCATCCAGCCTCACGAAGTCAGCGCCGCCCGTGACCGAGATGACGAGCTGTGGGCGTTGGGGTTCCATCATCCGCCAGTAGTCCGTCAGGAGAGTCAGCACGGTCTGGATGTTCGTTGTGTCTGACAGTCTGATGTATTTGGCTGGTTTGGTCGAGCCTGAGGGTGGAAGTAGGGGTTAGTAGTTGGTAGTTGTGGTTAGTGGTTTGTTGTTAGTAGGTAGTAGGTAGTGGCTAGTGGTTAGTGGTTTGTTGTTAGTAGGTAGTAGGTAGTGGCTAGTGGTTAGTGGTTTGTTGTTAGTGGGTGGTGGCTAGTAGTTAGTGGTTAGTAGTTAGAGTTAGTTTTTAAGAGGTTAGTGGCAAGGAATTAGTAGTAAGTGGTTTGAGGTTAGTGGTTACTAGTTAAGGTTGTAGTTGTAGTTAGGAGCTAGTAGTAGTAAATAGTAGTTAGTAATAGTACCTGTATTAGTGATGATAGTCGTGATGGTGATAAAAAAAATAAGGATAAGAATGATAACATTTGGTGTAATGGTAGAAATGATGATAATAATAATCATCTTGATAACATTTGTTTCTTCCTCTCCTCCATTCCACCTACTTCATCTTCTTCCTTTTCTCTTCCCCACGTTACTCACCTCCATCCATCCTCTCTTTTCTCTCTTCACTATTCACCCTCTTCCTTCCCCTTCCCTGTCTCCCATTTCTACCCTTCCCTTGTTCCCCATTCCTCCCTTCTATCCACCCTCTTCTTTCCTTAACTCACCCTCTTCCTTCTCTTTCTCCTATTCACTCCCTCCCTTCCCCTTCCTTGTCCTCCACCTGCCTCCCCTCCACTTATTTCCTCCTTTCCCTTTCCCTCTATTCACTCCCTCCCTCCCCCTCCCCTCTAGTCAATCCCTCCCTCTCCCTCCCCTCTATTCACCCCCTCCCTCTACCTTCCCTTATTCAATCTTTCCCTCCCCCTTCCCTATGTTCACTCCCTCCTTTCCCCTTTCCCTCTATTCACTCCGTCCCTTCCCCTTCCCTGTATTAGACATGCCTCCCCTCCCCTTTCGGTACCCCACCCTTCCCATCATGCCTCGTTCACTTCTTCCCTTCCTCTCTTTTCACCTTCTCCCTTCCCCTTCCCCTATTCCCCCCTTCCCATCCTGCCCCATTCCCCCCTTTCCCTCTCCCGTCCCCCCTTTTCTCCTTCTCCCCTCCTCTTCCCCTATTTCCCCCTTCTCATCCTGCCCCATTCCCCCTTCCCCTCCTACTTTTCACCCTCTCCCGTCTCCTCTTTTCACCTTCTCCCCTTCCCATCCCTGCCCGGCCTTTCTCCCCCCCCCTCCCCCATTAACCTACCCGCAGTCTCATTGATGAAGTCGATGCTTCCGTAAGCATTGGTCGGCAGCTCTTGAATGTGAGTGCTCGAGTCCCACTTGGCGGTCGCTGGAGGAACGTTCAGCCTGGGTTCGAGGAAGGACGCTGGAGTAAGAGCTTGTTCCGTCTGTTTGGAGGAGGAGGAAAGGGAAGATTCTTTGCTAAACGGTTTCCTGGATTTGAAGATAAAGATTTAAGTATGATGTTTAAGGACAAGGGAGGACAGATGCATACACACACACGCATACACACGCACACAGACACACAGACACACACACACACACACACACATATATATATATATATATATATATATATATATATATATATATATATATATATATATATCCGTCTATCTATCTATTTTTCTATCTATTTTATACTGCATTTTTCTGTCTATAAGTTTCTCTGTATCTATCTACCTATCTGTTTATCTGTCTGGCAAACAATATCTAAGCTATCAATCTGTTTACATATCTGCCTATTCATCTATCTATCTAGGTATCGGCTTATCCATATGTCTATCTTCATATCTATTTAATAATATATTTTCTATGCACATATCCATCTACCCACCTACCTAATTACCAGATTATGTACCTCTTACTCCCTTCTCTCTCTCTCTCTCTCTCTCTCTCTCTCTCTCTCTCTCTCTCTCTCTCTCTCTCTCTCTCTCTCTCTCTCTCTCTCTCTAACTCCCCCCCCCCCCTCTCTCTCTCTCTCTCTCTCTTCCCCCTCTCTCTCTATCTCCATCCCTCCCTCTCTCTCAAACTCCCCCCCCCTCTCTCTCTATCCCCCCCCCCCCTCTCTCATATATCTACAGAAAC